AAAAAAAAAAAAAAAAGCTGAGTGAAAACACATTGGGTTTTTGGAATTGGCCCACGCCACAAGCAAAAGAGGAAGAATAGGAGAAGCAGAAACAGCTATATCCTACATTGGGAAAACATAAAAAAAAAAATGGCAAAAATACACATTCACGTGTTAATCTCACAACAAAGTCAATTAAACGAGCTTAAACTTTTAAACACAGATTTGTCGCCGTAGTAAACATTAAAACCCAAAAATTACGATACAATAAAAAGGAAAGGAAAATTGCTCTGAAATCTTAACTGATTCTTCCCGAAATCAGCTCGCACATTTTGGAAATAAAAGAGATGCTATTAAAAAGGAAACAATTGAAAGAATACATAGCAGAAAATGAGGAAATCATATCGAGAGAAAAATTTCTGAATCTCGAGCTCGAGAAAAAGTTCATTCAAATCTCACGTTGACACAGATTTGGGAGATTAAAGGTATATTTTGGGTATTTTTCGTCTGATTAAGGGAGCCAATGCTATTAGAACAGAATGCTTAATTTGCAACCATGGCGGATTGGGTGTTTTGTTTACGATTTTTTTGTAGTATTAAGTGAGATTTTATTGTGTTAATTTGCAGCAAAATGTCGAAAATTATGGTGTTTTTGCACTACAATGGAGAGTGGTGTAACAACACCTACATTGATTTTGAAGTTGGGGGAATGTTTATGAATCGGAATTGTTGTTTCAGTGATTTCACCAAGCAAGTTGCAGATTTACTGAAGATAAAACCACATGGAAACAAGTTTGAGTTTTAAGTATCAGGTACGAGATGGATATCCAACAATTAAAATTGATGATAATCAAAGCCTTGGATTCTACATGGATTTGAAATCAAGGGATGTTGATTACACTAAGTTTCTAGTATGTGTGATTAAGGAACAAAAAAATGCTTTGGTTCCAGTTCCACTCCTCATCAATTCCGATCACAGCAAAGTTGCAGGGAATGAGTGCATTGTTGCTGCTTTGGACTTTGATCAATTTGACTATGAGGGTTCAAAGTGTATGAATTTTATGGATTTTGCAAGGGAAGCTGCGAAGCCATGTCGTTAGCTGCATCAAGTATTGAACAACAACAGTCCATTGTTGATACCTTGTTGAAGTTGCAGGTTTTTTTTTTTTTTTTTTTTTTTCCAATTATTTTCAAAGTTGATGCTCTGTTGATCTAATTTGGTGCCATGTTGGGGACTACCAGTTTACAATGAGTTTTATGTTCTGGACATAACAATTTTTTTTTTTTTTTTTTTTGCCTAATATGAGTAAATCTATATGAATTCTATTTTAGTGTCAACAAAGAATAATTTTTGAGTGCATGAGAGTTGATATATTGGTTTTTATATAGATTGCGATTGGTCCTTGAAATTGTGTTATATTGGTGGTATCAATTTTTGAATAACATTTAGAAATTAGTATGTGTTTGATATTACCATAGTTGGGAATAATGTAATTTAATAGTTGACAAAATGTTTAGATTATCCAAAGAGAAACTCAGAAAATACAAAAAGTAAACACCAAATGAATACATGAGATTATGATATATTGTTAATTGAAACAATTAAACGTGCTAAAAATATTGTTAATTAAAACAACTACTAAAAATAAATCAGTTATTCATAATAAAACCATCAACTTTTTCACAATTATAATATAGCTTAGAAATTCCATAAATAAACACAAAAATTACACAAGTACAAAAATATTGGGACCTGATAGTCAATGGTTGACATGAAAAATACTACAAGTAAAATACAGAAATATGTTACTCAGTAAAATATACCATAAGTAAAATACAGAAATACTACAAGTATTCCTTGAACAAACATAAGAATTAGAGAAAAATGTAATATCATGCATAAAAACACCAAGAAATAAACCTGATAACAAACAGTCATCCAAAACATGACCAACATATTTCATAAAACACCATGCCCAAAAGGAGAAACAATTGTCTACATAGTCCGACAAAAATATATGATAGAACAACAATGTCAACCAATATCATTAAACATCAAATTCAGATGCTAATTAGTATAGGGAAGTGCTAGCAAACTTCGATAATTTGTCGACAACGGACCAGGTGAATCATCATCACTCTCGGAATCTTTTTCCTGCTTCATTTTTCCATGTATGTACAACAGGTATGAAAACCTTAACCGCTCGATATTGACGTCAAAGGTGTCAGCATTGATGGGCTCAGTAGAAACAATATACTCCGCAAATGAAGCAACGAATACGCCATAATTCTGGTTACCCCATATACCAATATCAAGACCTCCAATAACACAGGTAGCATCCTTCATTAAAGAAACATAACAGATCACTAGCTATGCATAAAAATAATAAGCTATATACTTCGAGGTAAACATGAGGTTTACATTTACGACATCGAAAGGTAAGATAAACTGAGAATGAACCTTTTGATTTCAATTCAAGAAAAACTTGAGGTTTACATTTAAGACATCAAAAGGTAAGATGAACTGTTAATAAACCTTTTGATTTCAATTCAAGGAAAATATGAGGTTTTACATTTAGGACATCAAAAGGTAAGATAAATCACAGATAAACCACAGATAAAAAAAACCACAGATAAACCAACAAAAAACCACAGAACAAAAATCACAAATAAAACTACAGATAAACCAATAAAAAACCATAATGAAACATATTCATGAAAAGGGGAAAAAAAGGGAAACCATCGTCATCAAAATCTACATTATGTTCACCATTCCCTTGTACAAACTGAGAAACATATCAAGCAAATAAAAAAAGTATTACTGATTTTAAATGTAGACAAAGTTATGATCATAGAAATAAAATTAAATAATGACACTTACAACTCAAGCTCAACTTCCTTGTGGATCCCAACGTTTTCTTGTTGGCGACTACTTCCTGGAACATCATTGGGCTTAGCACCTCCTCCACCATTTAATCCCTTAGAAAGTAAACATAGTTAAGTTAGATAAAAAATAAATTACGAAAACACTAATGATACAGAATACATTTAACTTAGATATGTTATGTCAACAAGGAAAAATTGTAGATTGAGCATAAACCGTTCAAGAAATATCATGGTTATCCACTTCACGGGGGACGTCTTGTTGTTTACCACTTTCTTCACACTGATACATAGTTAAGTGAAATATGAAAAAAAAGAAACACATGTATTCCATGTATATATATATGTAAAAGTAAATAAAAAATAGACCAATTATAAACTTACAGTTTCTTTAAGACTGAGGATCTCATGCATCACTTTAATCAAAAAGTCAGTAAACAACTTCTTCAGATCATCAACATTATTCTTGAAGAACTTCTTCAAATCATCCAAATCATTCATAATCTTCACTTGCTTTGAAGACAAACTCATCTAAACATTCTATAATAGGAGACTCAGATGCACCGGGAATAGGGAATGTAGGAGTACTTTTAGATTCATTACGGAAGAACTCGTTCCTTTCGACAAAAAACCGTCCAGCTGAAGGATCGTCTTCCCCGATTCGGTGGGAGTTATATTTTTGAACTGTAGGGATTAATACACATTAAAAAATAAAAGAACCCAGAACAATGTTATTAAAAGATAACTTAATAGTAAAATATTATAATAAGCGACTAAGAGAAACCTTATCTGATGGCAACGTGAAGAAAACCCTCTCGATGAATCGTCTACCATATATCACGTGTACCTCTCAATTTAACATCCGAGGTACATTAGGAACTGAAAGACGAGTACATATGACTCCATCTGTGCTATCATACACCTCATAAAACCACAACTGAAGCGATAAAGTAAACCCACGTATCCTATAGAGATATACTCTTTTTTCAGTGCCATCTAATTTCTGCAACAAAGACTCCTTGTTACGAGACGACATCTTTAGATAATCAATGGTGTAGTCGTACACCTCTTTATCCCCACGGATAGATATCACAGTCTTGGCTATCAAGAATATCTAAGAAACACCTATCAAACAAAAGATTATCCTGAGCCCCATGAGAAAATTCGCGAGCAAGTGAAGCTTGGCAAGTTTGACTCCATCATGTCGTTTATCCACGCCCTGTTAAAAAACTGCCATTTAATAGAGTGACGGTTCAAACCAACATTGGCAAAATATCTGTCAAAAAGACCATCAGGGACGGGAGGAAAACAAAGCTTTTTACACGAGCCATTACATTTCAGACCACTTATCAGAGCGAACTCCTCGACCCCGAATCTCAAGATTTTACCACTGAAGTGAAACCACATCTCATCCAACCTAGGCTGGTGTACTTCTTGCAATGAAATCAAATTAACAAGTTGGTTCTGAACCTTACAATGAGGTAGGTCGATAAATTTACCAAAAGCAGAATTTCTAAACATCTCCAATTGATCTTTGGACAAGAAACACTTAATGTCTGCAATAGGTGTGGTAGAACGACTGTTATCATTGCTGTTGATTATCTTCACGGTCAATGCTCTTGAGTTTGAAATAATCAATTCCCAATCATAATGAAAAGAAACAAACAATTGATACCAACAATAACACTAAAACATATATGCTAGATCTAACTAGTTTATACAGACATAAACATTGGCACCTACAATGACATTATTTTGCTTGTCAACATGGATAGCAAGATCAACAAATAAATCAATAAAAAAAAAAATGGACAAAGTTAAACATAAATTATATGAACACATATACTAGGAAAAATCTTCTAAAGGTAAAAAGTACCTTGTGTTCTCTTTGGTGTTTATTCCTGGCATCTTCAACGTGAAACTCAGAACAAATCGATTTATGCCTATGTGTATTGCCCTTGGACCTCCTCAGTACTGATTTGTTAGCCTCAGAGCCATCCTCACTTTCTTCTTCATCCAGAGGAACACATTGTTCAATTTCGAAATCAGAATCGATGTCATCTGGATATTTAACTTTCCTCTTCCCCTTAGCATCTCCGTTTCACTCCATAGCATTCTTCTGAGAAAATCGCTTATTCTTAGAACTGGAACGAGTTATTGGGCATCTGACATGCGAGCGTTCTCCCACAAACGACTTTCTCTGCTTGAAAACAATGCCTTTGGTCTGCTAATTCTTCTTGCCAAACTGAATTTTCTTTTGAACAAGTCTTCGACGACGCTAAACTTCAACTTTTCGATTTTGCTCCAGATTTCCTTCGCCTTCAGATGAAGTATCAGAGACATAATTTTCATCCTCAACTTTCGCCATCTAGATGGAGATTTGATTTGTGAATTTTGGTTTGAACAAATTAGGGAAGGATGAGAAAAAAAGTAATCATCAATTCAGATCTGCAATTTTTTGATATGCGCACAATTGCGTGTTTGGGTGGGAGGCAAAATCTCGATAAATCTTCTCGATTTTATTACTGATAAATAATAGTAAAAAATTAGTTGCCTGAAAGTGGAATTACACTTTTCTTAATCTCGTAAATGCGACCTCAGTGAGTGTGATATGCGATGAATTTTTTAACATTGTTAAATTGGTAGTATAAAAATATATAGACGTTCGAGGGGTAATTTTTTCAAAAAAAATGAAATACTTTTAACAAAGAAGACATAATTGGCCATTGTATTCAAACCCGCTGGGTCGTTGGAACCATTTTACAAATTTTCAATTTTACTGGTTTTTTACGGTCCAAACGGTTTTTAACCGGTTTTTATGCTCAACAGTTTAACTCCTCAAACCGAACCGTGGTGATGCCCGATTCCCGGTTGAACCGGTCAAACCGGCATCCGGTCCGATTTTCAAAACTATGCTTTTAATAACCGGTTTTTTATTGAAGCAGTTAAGAGTAGATGTGGCAAGGGTCGGCCAGGCCCCCCCCGGACCTACGGGTTCTTGAACCAGACCCGTGGAAATACCTGGCTGGTTCCTGGTCTTAGTTTTGTTTTTTTAACCTGCACTGGTTCGAGTTGCTTTTTACTTTTTATTCTTTATTTTTTATAATAAAAAACAAGCAGTTCGATCGAGCTAGTTCAATGAACCAGCCCCTAAATGTAACCGGGCCGATTTTGAGTCCAGCTTTTGAGGCCCGGTGACCCGCCAGACCGGGCCGGGTCGTGAACCAGCCCGCCCGAAGAGCGAGATCTCGAAACCTGAAATTTGCTGTCCTCTCAATCTATGCTGCGAAGGCCACAAGTCGATGGACCGGCCCATTTAATTTACGCACAATTGCACACACACAATCAGGATAAAGAAAAGCCCGTATTGCTCACACCTCGAAATGTGCCTCCATTTTCTCGACTTCCCTTCCCCAAAGTTTGAAATCTGGGGGCATACTGAGAGAGAGTGTACTCATAAGAGATAACACTCACCTGTTTTGTTGTCTTTGTGGAGAGTGATCAATAATCAACCTCACTGCTTTTCCATTTCCATCTTAGCACGCCAGAGCTCCCACTGTACTTCTCAATTCCAAAGCTTCTATACTCGGGCGGTTTTGGCCGGTGGTGTTGCCGCCAGCCGTCGGTCTCGTGACGGCGGCCACTTCTCATCTAGTAGTAAGTTCTAATTGTAGTTACTCATTGAAAGCAATAATTGAAACGGGGAGTCTGTGCTTAATCTGTTGCTGTTTCTTACATTATTAATGCTTGTTAATTTACATGAGATTTTGTTTTTGGTGTTTTGGTTCCTAGGCCGGCAACAATGAATTCTTTGCTTCTTAATTCACATCTGATGTCTTTGTTTATATTTTTCAAATTCTATAAGTGCCTAATCGTGCAATATTGACGGAGATGTTGGTAAGTAGGACGAGGATGGTAAGTAGATTGATGCGTCTTGTGTTTACCTTGCCAATTTCTTGCTGCTACCTCGGAAAGAGTGTTTTCAGCAAACATGTCTAGACTGATATATGCAACAAAATTGCCGATGTGTTCCTGGCTGATTGAAGGGAGTTTGTAAGGGAAACAGATATAGATTGTGCTTTTGATGACTTTTGCTAAGTTTAAAAACCCTCGGGTTAAAAGTTTACTTTTTAGTTCTGTGTAACAGATGTGAGTTCTTGTGGACTCAGCTAAACCTGTAATAAATTATGTCTCTGCCCCTGTTACGGTGGCTTTCATGTTTCTATCTGCATTTTGAAGTTTCATGATATATGAATGTCAGGTGCTTGGTTTAGACGTTTCATTGCGGGAGTCCTGTTTCAGTTAGTGGGAAATGAATTTGCTTTGTTGTAGTAGTAACCAGTGCCAGTTGAGACCCAAGGTCGTCTCTGCTACCACAAACCCATCTTCAGATTTTTTGAAGAGTTCTGCCAGCCTCAGCCATGTTGTACGTTTTATCTGGGTGCTACTTCAGCTCATGTCTTTATTAGCATTATGCAATAAAATTTATGTGGTCTCGTGAAATGTTTGTTTCCTGAAATTATAAATGGATTTCTGATACAGGGTTGGGGAAGAAGAAGAGAAACTTCCCATAATAACTGCAGGTTTACACAAGTTGTATCTTATTATAGCCTGAGAAGCCCACCGTACAAGCTTGTGAGCATTTTATGTACTTAATTTTCATTTATATTGTTCACTTCTCTTCTCTTCTCTTCTCTTCTCTTCCCTCCCTCTCTCTCTATCTCTCTGATCTAGAAATTTAGTCCTCATTGTTTGATTCCGTTTCTTTACCTCAATTTACTATGAACTATTGCCATGAGCACATGTCAATAGTTCAAATGATATATCTAACCCTTAGAAAGGGCGTTCACTTGGGTTCAAACCCTTTACCTTGCAATTTAGTTGGTTGTTACTATCTCCTCTTACCTCTACCCTCCTAACTATTGAAACTTTGAACTTTTGTCAACAATGTAGCTGATAATCCTTTAGATTTGTAAGTTCTTATGATTTTGTGGTATTTTCCCTGTAGTTTTAGATGCATAAGCCAGTGCCGAGCACGTGAATTTTAAAATAGGCATTTTTGTTGCATTTCTTTCCGAATCTGAATTGCTCTGTTTATTAAGTTCCCCATGCTTGTATACCTTGTAAGTGGCTTCACCCAAATGTTAAGAAGCTTGAGAAATAAACCCCTTTCCTCATAATAGAACTTTTTACTGTTACAGTAGATGGTGAAATGTTTATGGAAATATTAGTGTCCTTGAACAAAAATTCTTAATATTGTTTGGTACTTTTCTAATTGTTAATTGCATTCAGAATAGTTGATTAATAAGTTGCAGCAGAGATAAATTTTCTACAATTGGTGTTTTTAGATTTGCTCAATAATTCAATCTTCCTCCTTTTGAACCTTTTCCTGGCTGTGTTTGTAGGATGCACTAGAACCATATATCAGTCAGAAAACTCTTGAAGTGCATTGGGGGGCCCACCATCGTGGTTATGTAGAAGCTCTTAACAAACAGCTCGCAAAGAATGACGTACTCTATGGATACACCATGGATGAGCTAATCCGAGTGACGTATAACAGCGGCAATCCATTTCCTGAATTCAACAATGCAGCTCAGGTAATGAAGCCTCTAATTATCCAATAGTTTTAGTCATTTACACTTCATCCAACTGTAAATCATTGAGGTAAGTTTATTATTTTTCTAGAAGAGAGTTCGGTTCTAAGATTACAACTGTCATGATAAAGGTTGATGATGATACAACAACGTCCATTTTAGGTGCTGGATATCGATTTGGGAGTTTTTTCTGATTGCTTAACTAAATGGACTTTGATTTTGAGTTTAATGGGAAAACTGTCTTGTGTTAGGAAGTGCATAATTCCTCATTTCTTACGGAGTTTTCGACACTTCTCGAACCCAACTCTTACTTTCTTCCATTTTTCATTTTCCTTCCTTTAGGTATGGAATCATGACTTCTTTTGGGAATCAATGCAACCTGGAGGCGGTAAAATGCCAACTCTGGGCCTACTGCGGCAGATAGAGAAGGATTTTTCTTCATTTGACAATTTCAAAGAGAAATTCATTGAGGCAGTCCTCACCTCATTTGCATCTGGCTGGGTTTGGTTGGTCTGTAAGTGGACTTGCTTGCCATTAACTTTTTATTTTATTTTTTTAAAGCAGAGAGTTTAAAACCAGTAAAATATTTGCTTTGGGTTGATAGATTCAATATTCTATAAAAGGATTTGGTTTACCAAATTAAACTTATCCCAATAAATCAAGAAAGCTGTTGTCTGAGTTAGATGAATATGCTTGATTGTTCGAACTCTTGGTTTTTTAATCAATAATACATTTTTACTTATTTAGCTTTATTGAAAACTGTAAACAGTGAAGAGGAATGAAAAATGCCTTGCAATTGTGAAGACATCCAATGCGGTGAATCCTCTAGTTTGGAATGACATTGTAAGATTTTCTGGTGGTTTTCGATTTTTAGTCACCTCAGAAGTTTTATGTTAAATCTTAATGATCTCTTAATATTTGCAGCCAATTATCTGTTTGGATATGTGGGAGGTATGTATCCTTCCCCTCCACACGATTTCTCTGCATAGCTTAAAAATAGTTTCTATCATAGCGTTGTTGATTTCTGTTTTTAAATCGATTTTGCAGCATGCATATTACTTGGAGTACAAGGTATAACTTGACCTATTTCACATTTCCCTTATTTCCATTATTTTCAAAAACATGAGTATTACTCTGGATAAATTCCTCATTTGCATCTTTTGAGCAGAACGATAGGAGTAAATATGTCAATGCTTTTATGAATCACCTCGTATCTTGGGATGCGGCAGCTGCACGCATGGCTCGAGCGCAGGCTTTTGTCAATTTAGGCGAACCAAAAATCCCGGTGGCATGATGAGGCTCATTTCTTTGCGAGCCCATTAATTCCAAGTGAAAAAAAAAGCATAAGTGATATCTTTATCATAAGAAAAATGCTATTTTCAGACTGTGCATACTGTGTAACAATGTAACAAATCATTGGGGTTTTGACTAAATCACTTGAGATATTTGTGAGCTGTTAGTGGTTGCACGGCCATTGGATGCTAGTCCATCACTTGGAAGTTTAAGTGATATGAAGAGGCGAAATTACATGCTTGCTAAGTCTAAAGCTAAATATTAGCATTAGCATGTATACAATATTGTGAAATATTTGCATATGTATGGAAATATGCAACATAATTAGGGGTTTACTAGCTAATTAAATGGTTTTGACATTGTCTAATATCTGTCTATCAGAGACAAAGGCAGATTGAATTTCACTAATGCAAAGGGGGAGACAATTTTTCAGTCTTTTAGCGAAAATCTTGAAAATCACCTTGAAGCAACATTGCAAAGGCTAATAGGTTCTATAATGGGAAATAAGATCAGAGTTTTGACACTTTGGAATCAATGAAATGAGAGAGTGATTTAAGCTTTTTAGCAATTGACCAGAAGCAACGAAACTATAAGCTAGTGCACATAAATTAGATTTCACAATCGACTAGAAGGATTGGAAAAAGGATGAAGTCATACCATCTAAGCTCGGGGCTTTATTTGGGTTAATGCTGAAAATAACCTTCTTTATTTCATCCTCGTCCACAACTGCCACAAGTTCTGAGTTAAGTTCTGAAGTTATGGTCTCAGGAGTTGCACCAAGAAGCTCAACACCATTCTGAAATCCTTGAGATGTGAAGAGGTTGGTGTAGAAATCCCTAATGCAATCCACTATCTCACCTTTAGTTCCACACACCCTGTGATCTTCTGTCACCAATCTAGAAATGTTGTTCACTTTTCTTCTTTCCTTGATTGCAACATGAAAGTAGTTAGTGTTCTTATCTCCATCTTTGTGCCAATTAATTCTAGTCTTTTGCTTCCAGAACCTTTCTTCTTCCTCATTAGCTTTATCTAACTGTTGCTTCAGCTCATCCCAAAGATGTCAGTTTCTCTCACCACCTTGCTCATTCATTTGTTTCAGCTTACTGTTCAACTCCTCAATCTTTATTGCATTATCCCTCTTGAAGGTTCTACTCCACTTGAGTAGGTGCACCCTTGTTTCTTAAATTTTGGCCCGAAACATGTACATAGGTATACCACTCAATGGTATGTTCCAAGCTGCTAAGACTACCTCTCTGATTTCTTCTTTGTTTAACCACCTTATGTCAAAATAGAACCTCTGATTGACTTTTTCCTTTGATGGCTCAAGGGTGATGAGTAGTAGGTCATGGTCCGAAGAGATTCTATGAATCTTTTCCACCTCAACAGTAGTGTAAATTGGGCTTTAGGTTAGAGTACAAAATACTCTATCTGGCTTTTCTTGAAACAAAGCATTCCCATTCTTTTCTGTTTACCTAAGTAAATCTGTGCCATGTTAGCTTCAGCTCACACATTCCCATTTTAGCAATAAAGTGCCTGAAGCCTTAGAAGGAGCCCTCAGGTCTTCTTTAACCTCCTTGTTTTTCTGAGTTATCTACTGGAACACCTCAAATATTTTTAGTATTCATAAGCTCGAATTTAGTACCTAAATAGCAAGTTTATTTATTTGATGCATTAAATTATTGTTATTTGCATTAAACTGATTTATAAAATTCTAGTCTAAGCCATGGAGGATCCCTTCAATTTTAATTTCCAAAAACTAAATTTATTTAGCCCAATTATCAGTTTTAATTTTTATGTTGAAGATGAGTGTTAGCAAAATCGAGAATTTTATTTAACATGGGCCGAAGCCCGGACGAGTCGAGGACTCGGCCCAAACCTCACCCACACGGCCAAGGAGCCATGGCCCACATCGAGCACGACCCATGGCCCCAACTCGCGGCCCAATGGCACGCGCGCCTCGCGGCTGATGAGAACACGGCAAGGAGATTGAAGAATGCTGCGAGCCGCGCTTATCATGCACGACGAAGGTTAAGCCGACGGGTTGCCCAGGCCCAACTCGTTAATGGGGATGCGCGCACGGACGATGACGCGCGCGAGAATCTCGGCCAAGGGTGCAATAGCGCGGGTACGGACGAGGGGGTTCACGTGCAAGCAGGCCTAACCACGCAAGGAGTAGGCGAGGCGGGCGCGCGAGGGCAGCACGCGCGCAATGGCGGCTTGAATCGCAAGCAAGAGATATTCTAGATATTTATTTCCTTGTTTTCTAGTTTGTTTAGGACTCCTATTATTTTATTGCTTTATTAGAGTTATAGTAGGACTAGATCTAGTTGATGCCTATAAAAAGGCCGTTCCTTGTTATTTTTCGGCATTCAGAAATCAATACAAAAATCCGAACTTTTGTTCAAACACTTTGCTCTGGTTTTCTTTCTTGAATTCTTTTGCAAGTTCATTCGTTAGAAAGGCTGCGAGTGTGCGACTTCCTAACACCTATCGAGCGATTTAAGGCGCGGGAGCGGCTTGTCGACAATCGAGACACACGATCTTCATCAGCGGCCCAACCCTAGCTGCGGCCAAGGCCCAAATTTCGAGGCCCAACAGACTCCAAGTATTATAAACCAAGCCCTCTCAATTTGGCCCAAGCAAGCATATGATGAGGCCCTTAAAATCCTATCCCAACTATTATTATATATATAGCCCAATTCTTCATTTATTTATATGACCCAAGTCTTGAAATTATTTAGCCCAACAAGATGCATTAGGGTATTTGACTTGGTTACCAAATCTTGAGTGTGAATATCATTTAATGCTCCCATCTACCAAGCCCTCTTCAAACCCTAATTCCACATGAGTATAAATATGAGTCTTCACCATCTAGCCTCATTTTTTCTCTTCATTTTCCCAACTCATTTCAAGCTCCCAACACTCCAAAATATCCTAAGTCCCAGAAATGTGTTAAGTACAAAAACCCCTAGCCCTAGTCCAAGAGAATCAGCTCTAGCCCTAGCCACCGAGCCGTTGCACCCTAGTCCCTAGCCCAACCCTTCACGCGTCGCTGAGCGCGCCCCCAGTTAGCTGGCACGCCCTTTGACCAACCCAGCACGCGCGCGCCTATTCCTCAGTCCCAGCAGCTCCCAGGCGCCAAGTTCAGTCCATACGCACGCTGTCACAGGGTCTCAAAAGAGGCTAAAATTTTCGCACCCTTAACACCCTATGCGGCCTGGTTTTTCGCCTAACCAGTCAGGCTTTCACCTTCACACTAAACGCACAACTTAATATTACAAAGTCGGAATAGTGTTTTAAGCAATACACCAACAAGCAACGCACACAGATAGCATCGAGCAATCAAACAAGGCAACAAAGTTTACAGGCTCCACGCCCAACCAACAATTTCACTATCGCTAGAAAATTCGCCAAGGCATGCACACAAACTCGCGGTATCGCTCATACGCGCGATTGTGCAGCTCAAGGCCTTTATATAGGCCCGCAGGCAAGTTGCGGTTGACATCCCCAACCGCTAGGACAGGTAACCGTCAGGCAGTTTTAAAACTACCCATATTCTAAGCCCACTAAGCATAACCGTCCCCATAACGGTCCCAATACGCGGACCATCAAACAAGCGCACCACGTGTCCAATGTAACCGTCTTGTACACGCGTCGCCCATCTGATTCATTCTGCCATGCACACTTGAAGATTTCTCGCCTAGGCCACGTGGAACAAGATAACAACATCCACGTGCAACCAACATGCATTCGAAACCTTAACCGTTCCCGCCAACAGTTTGAGCGTCGCGCCAACACTCGCGCGCCCATCAAGCCGCATCAGCAACCCGCATAGCTTAGAGTTAATCCTGCCCAACGTAGTGCAAAGGCGCCGTACCGCCTTGCTACTTTGCCCGCACGTCTTTGTGTGGCCATGCACAACCCGCAAAGACTTGACTGATCCCATGCTCAGTCTACATTGGCTCAGCCCTGCAACCCAGCATCCTTGCCAAGCTAGCCCGAAACCTTTCCCATGTCAATGTACTTGTTCCCTTATTCGACACTGTGCACAAGTGCCCGGTTTCTTGACCCTTGGCGCACATAAGGGAATGCGCCCGGGTCCAGCTCAACTCAGGTCCGTAACACACGCCCTTGAAGCCCCAACACGCGCCCCACAACTTCCTCGTGTGCGCCCCTACACGGATCCGAACGCTCCTACTCCCAGCCGCTGCAGCACCAGCCCGTGTCCGCACGCCAGCTCGCGTCCGCAACTTCCCAGATGCACGCTCTCGCGTCTGCAGCTTCCCGCGCACACGACCTCACCTCGGATCCAGCATGCGCGACCAGATCCCACGCGCCCCAGGCCTGCAGCGCCATGATGCGGCTCCTACAACAAGCATGCGCCCAAACTCTAGCCCTAGCAATTTATGAATTTCGTTTTTGAGTCCCAAGAGGTAGATATATACCAACCCTACCTCCTATGGCTTATACATGAATTATAAAGTATTAAAAATTGAAAAGCATGAAAAAATGGAGTAGAATAAATAGACCTAGATTTATTGTGATTTCATGCTGGATTTTTAGATCTTGTGTTGTAGATGTGATAAAATCATGATTTAAATTGCTAAAATCATAAAAAAAATTCTTGAGACTGAGGTTTAAATTTGGGAGATTGTTTGCTATGTGAACCAAAATTGTAGATCTAGATCTTAAATGACTTTATATTGTTGAACGAGTTATAGATCTATTCTTGCTGAGATATTTTAACAAAAATCTTATATATCATGAGAAGGTTGTGTTTAAAATTTTAAGATTTTTGGAGGTCATTTGATTTGCTTTAAAAATCGAGACTTTAGCCTTGAATTGATGAATTTTTAGAAGCATTATGTGATGTATATTTGCTGAGATGTTTAGAGCCGGAACATCCCTATAATATTTTGAATTTATGGTTAAAGTTTCGGCTTGATATGAGTTAGGATTCCTGGTGAACTAGAACCATAGTTTTGCTCGTTTTTGTGCACC